ATTGATGTTTTTAAAACTAACTTGTTTTTTTGATAACTTTCATATTTTAATATGTTCCTGATAACTTTCATACTGATAACGTTGGACTTCAATCAATTAAAAATTATATTATTATCTACAACTATGGCATTAATCGAAATTCCATATGATACGATCGGTTGTTTGTCTCGGAAACATGGAAATTAAGTTTAAAATGACGGATACGATATTATTAAATGAACCTAATATACCATTTTATGTGTTCCATATTCTGTTTATTATTTATTTCCGAAATTCCTCATTTCGATTTGTCCTGTTCCATTCCTGGTCTCGAATTCTCTTTACTCTTAACATCCGTATGGGTAGTCTTGTTCCATAGTCCTGTCAAATTAGACATGTTGCCTAGCAAAAGGTCGGATAATTCAAATTTCTTTTAATATTATTAGGACTAGAAACCGCCCGACGTTTTCGACTACTGCAGCACTTACTAGACAAACGATCTAAGCTTTCAATCAATTATAAACGACTCGTATATATGACAATAATAAGACCTATTTGGACTTACGGAATTGAGCTTTGGGGCTCCACTAAACCATCGAATTCCTCTCGTATCCAATCCTTACAATCCAAAATCCTTCGTAAAATCCTCAACGCTCCTTACTTTGTCACAAATAAAATCATCCATAAAGACCTTAATGTTCCATATGTTTCCGATCTGGCCCAATCCAGATACCTTTCCTTCCATAACAAACTGCAGAATCATCCGAATCCTCTCGTTTCAAACCTTGCTTCATCCTTGATCCCTGATAATCCTCCGAGGCGTCTGAAAAGAAGATGGCCTCGGGATCTTCTAATATAGAACTTTAATTTGAGTTCTACCAATGGGTAGTTTCTCTTCATGTTGTACATGCCATGTTACAAATTTCTCATTTACTTATTGTATTCTCTATGTAATACAGTTGTAAATTCCATTGAAATAAAAAAAAAAAAAAAAAAAAAAAAAAAAAAATATTATTAGGTATGTAGTGAATACAAAAAATTCATGTTTCCGATTCTGAAAGGGTTCGCTACAGTGTTCCAAAAACCTTTTTATTGTGTACGCTAAATTTCTCCTTTTTGAAGCGACATAGATAAAAAAATGGTTATATTCAATCTTAAACAACTTAAAATTATCTAACATTTTCTTCTAAACGCAACAGAAAGTGACCAATCGAGCTTTCAAAATAGGATTTTTTTTTTAAATTTCGTAAAAACACGGATATTAATATTTTGTTTATAATTAACTATTTGTTTGTATACGTTTAGTTCAGAAATATGTTTCCTATAAAAATCTATAGTCAGGACGCAGTCATTTTTTAAGGTTTTTATTGGAGACACTTGGACACCTTCAGGGCTCGAAACGCGATGGATGACCCATGTGCTTGGGTTGAAACGTCGGCACTAATAAAATTTTAAAAAATTACTGCGTCAAGCAAGAATAAACAAAATAAGACGTATGGTAAAACGGAAACATCTAATATAATTGGATTATACGAAGCTGCACAAAGATGAAAGATAGAGGCAAATGTTAGATATATCATCAAAAGAGAGCTGCATACAAAAAAACAATTTTCCTGGTTGGCGCGTCACCAAATAGTTCAAATATTAGTTATATGGCTTATAAATTATATATATATCGCATATCTAAGAATAAATCTCCAAGATTATGACGGCTTACTTTTATTCGAAACCTGACAAGAAGGTGTAAATTTAAACTCTTAAAAAAATTGACTTACGAATTTCCTCTCAATTAAATTATTTTTTCAAAAATTAATAAGCCTCAATAATATTATTTTAAATATTAATATTCAAGTGCACTGGATGTCTTATCATACTCACACAAACCTTTTTGCGAGGGTTTCGATAATATTCGTAATATTAAAAGAAAGCAATTATCTTATCTGCGATACAAACTAAACCTGATTTATTGAGGTAAACGGACAAAAAAAAATTGCACTCATAATTATAATAAAATCCCAGCTTATGAATGAATGATTCAGAGTTCATTAATTCCGATTCCTAATCCACAAATTCACAATGAGTCAATATTGTTTTGAAATAATAACGGCAGACCAACCCCCAATTTACAAATTATATAATGCAACTGTTCATTAAATTGTACTTCTCGTTGCTCAAATTGTTCAAGTTTAATTTGGATGCATTCTGAGGAGAGATTGTATTATTTATTATCAACATAAAATACATGTTTATTATTTGATAAGTTACACATTTTTAATAAGTTCAATTGTTTAAAATAATTAGTCTTATTACCATAATTTTTTACGGATTAAGTTTTAGAACTTTTTGAAAAAAGGGGTAAATACAGAGTAAGTGACAAACATTCCTGTATTTTTTTCCAAGGAATATTTTTCAATGTCTTCACGATTAGATTAGATCTGTGAGCATATGAAGTACAGATGAACTGTTCTGAATAAATATGTCCGATATTTCAATTACTGTAAACTTTTCAGTAAAATGGGGTGTTTTGGGTCTTTTCTGCTCTTATGGTTCTATCAAGCTTTATTTTATTTATCTCTTTAAATAAATATAAATGCAATCTTTCTTTAATTCTTATAAAATATGTTTACGTATCATAAATCAAGAAAGAATCGACCACCTATAAGTCTTATAATCCTAAATCAACATAAATTTAGTTCTAAAGTTTTAAATTTAAGCAAGGGCTACATGAAATATTAAAGTATTCCCTTATCCTTACAATCCATCAAAGAATTATCGTCATTGCATTTTATTTAACTATAATATTATCCACGTAGACTTAAATACCTAGTCATAAATATTGTTAAAAGAAAATATATACAGATTTCAACAGAAAATTATTTTATTTTATTTCTATTAAACTCTGAGACTCTGAAGCCCACAATTGTATTATTTTTTATTATTCTAAAGGGACTTGTCCAAGAATAAATAAAGTATATTATTATTATTATTATTATTATCTATAACCTGACCAAATATTAAATTTCCTATTATTCTTGTTTCCCCACTCTTCCACTGATCAGCCTTAATTAATTCGTCAAAGAATACTCGATACATGGAAGAGAGAATCAAATTAAAAATAGAGTCCATGATTATATTAAAAGTCAAATGCTTACACACACACACACACAAACTTTTTCAGATGCCAACTGCATATTTAAGAGTTGGGTAAGTATTTATTTATAACACCATTATAACAAATTGTGAACTAAATTGTATTTGTTATGTGATATTAAAATTTGCTACACATGGAAAATAATATTATTATTCTCATAGAATTGATAAATACAAGATAAATAAATAAACTAAAACTTAATTAAAAGTACTCCATGGATCAAGTTTGTGTTGAAAACTTATTTTTGGTACTGCTGTCTTTATAGTAACATGCATAGGCGCAGACTTCGAAGAGCGGGCCAGCCCATCCAATCAGTGCGACAGATTGCTACGGCCCTAAATGTGTCGCACACAAGCATAGTAAACCATTTGCACAAACTAAGCTATGTTTCCAGGCTTAATGCTTGGGGTCCCTCTCATGAATTGTTTTCGAAATTCACCAAAAAATGTATAACTTCAATACGACTTTAGCTATCTACAAAAAATTTAGCAGGATTTTAGGGCCAAATAAAATACACAAAATGACATCGACGAAACTTTCGTAAACCAACTACCAATGAAGTTAAAAATAAAAACCTATAAAGAGTTTTTGTTTATTTATTCGTTATGTAGGATTTAAATAAAAAAACTATTCATACGGTTTTCAAGAGCAATGATTCAGCTTTCAAACGAATATGATAATATAGAATTTGAATGACCGGAAGGGCGTTGTGTTCCACCAAGACAACGGTAGGCCCCACACCTCATTGAGCCTTAGATGAGACCTTTTGCCCCACCCTATTCACCAGACCTGGTTCCAAGTGACTACCACTTATTCCGGTCTCTGGTGAGCTCCATGAATGGAAAGAAATTTCGAATGAAATAGAACATAAAAAATCACTTGGATTAGTTGTTTAACAATAAACTCCTGACATTCTGTAAACAGGGCATTATGCAGTTAGTGGAAAGATAGGAAAAAGTCATATTAAATAATGGTCAATATATTGCAGATTAAAATAAATTTTATGTCTATAATACATTGAGTTTTATTTCACCCTGAAAAACAGGAAAGACTTATTTTTCAACCCAATAGAATTATCAATTTTAAAGTTTTGCCTGATAATTGGCAGTACCTATTATTATAGCTATAGCTATAATAATGTTAAATGCCTCGTTTAAACGCCTATTTGTGAACTATTATACGTTATCCAATCTAATAACTGTAAATAATGAAGTTGAGTAGGAAAACTTTGTTCTCATACATGCTCCCTCGTTCAATGCTACCTTCCTACCTCTTTGCAATTAACGCAAAACTTGATTTATAATATTCAATATGTATCTGTTTCATGTAAAACAGCTATTTCTATGGTACAAGCGTTTGGAAGTCACTTATCTTATATTTTGCCTAAGTTTTTTAACAATGCGTGTTTCGACTATAATCCTGAATCAAATTCAGAAACACTGCTATGGGAAGGCCAGAAAAGAGTTTCGCCCCCCCCCCCCTTAATATTTGGAACTCCAATGTTACGATACTTGAGAACCTACTTTAAACTGAAAAAAATGAGATAAAATAAAGAGTAAATAAATCTTAAAAGCGATCATAATACATTGGAAGGTAAGAAGTACCGTAAATTCGGCAATAAGTACGTGAAATGTTCAAATCCAAAAGAATCGAATAAATTCCATTTCTTTATCTAATAAATATAATACAATTTTTACTGTTTAACTTTAGGAAAACTTTGTTGAAAGTTTTTTAAAATTTTGTTACAACTATTAAAAGTATTAATAAACTCTGTTCCAAGTATTGATGAAAATTGTTGGTTAATTTTGAGACCATTGATAGTAAATATCATAGAAAACCTCATCGTAACCTCTCCTTATCGTAACCTATAGCAGTTTGTGCGGGGAAGGCTCTTCGTTATGTCAGGTCTTGTATGGATTTGTTATTTTCTGTCATTATTTATTGATTTTTTAAAACGAAAATTGCAACAAAGAAACATCTGTAATTTGTTGAAATTAATAGTTTATGTTCAATTTTGTTTTTATTTTATGATTTCATAGTTACTGTTTCCTTGGTTTGTGTGGATAAGCTTTTGTGTTTCAATTTATTATTTTAAAATATATTTATAAGAAGCTGATGTTTTGGTCTTAGATGTCTACCTACGTGTGTGTAACTATAAAACAATATTAATTACATTTTACTTGATTTGGATGTGTACTTAGTTGTGTCTTAAATTAAAAGCATTCCATAAATTTTAATTTTCTAGCAGATTTTAATACCATGGAACAATTTGTTGCTTTACATCCTTTGCAATTCAGGACTTGAGTGAGCACTTGCTTGTATTTGTTCATATTATATTATGAACATAAACTGAAAATTATATTTTTTGTCTTGGCTTACATAACAGTATTAAGTCACGGTTTCTTTTCTTAGTTCTAGTATTATTGTTTAAATATTGTATTTCCATTTATTTTTGTTGATTATTATTCATTTACAGGTCTAGTTATAAGTTAACTAAATTAATTTTGAAATAAATTCTAGTTTTTTTTTGTAAGAAATCTATGTCTGAAATGTTTTGAAACATATTTATTTTTATTATTGAATTTTAGCATTGAAGTTTATTCTTCACTTCAAAATAATTTTTTTTTAGAAAACGGAAAAAAGTTTAGTTCTGGAGCTCCTCTAATGTATTCTTATCGTTAGAATAATCTTAATTTATTTTGTTATCTACAGGGTGTCTTAGTTTTTACTGCACAAACTCTGTGGGAACTCTGAACTCTGAATTTAACTATAATTAAATTCTAAGTATACTATTGTAAACAAGAGGAAATTTTCTTTGAGAGAAAAGTGATTAAATTTACCAAGGTCAATGATAAAAGGGACTTTTAGGAGGTCTAATATCGCAAAGCCTAACATTATACCAAATTATTTCACTAATTGAGATTATAGAGATATGCTGCTACGGGTATTATAACTACAGCAGTACGATGGCCATATAAAATCTCCTGAATGTCCCTTTTGTCATTGTCCTTCGTGAATTTAATCACTGTTATCTACTTAAAAAACATTTGTCTACTTTACGATGGTCTACTTAAAATTTAATTATCTTGAACAGTTTTTAAGCAATTCCTTCTTATTCAATGAAAAACTCATAATTGGTTTCAACTCCTTTTCTGTTCGCCCATGGTCCTTGGTTTGGAATCGGCCTATGCATCGAATGAACTTTTTTTTGGAAATTTTATCTAGAATCACCCTCCAGAGTTTGGCTATTAAGAACTGCATATCATGTATAGAGTGTCCAAAATTAGTTGACATTCCAAGAGAGAACTTGCGCCACTCTGCTGAAACTGTTTGTTTTTTACTTACTTAAGCAATAATATTCACTAATATATACATATATTACAAGTTGATATAATAATCTTACAATATATGTATATATTTGTAAATGTTTTCTTTCTTAATAATTCCTTGTGTAGTAAAAAAAAACAGTTTTTTTTATTACCTCCTATCTTGCCATTAATGGCATGAGGGAAAGGGGTTGTTCTCAAGGTACAATCAAACTCATTCTAACCATAGTGGGAAAAGAGAAATTCATTCTGTGGGTCCGCCACGAACTGAATTTTAACACGCCCAGTCCAGATTCGAACCGGTATCGCTAGACTCAAGAATGATAAAGTTTACGCTTTTGCAAGCTCGTCCATCGGGACCTCTAAAAATCAAAACAATTTTTTTCAGCAGTGCCAGCCAATCGCAGACGTGCTATTCTTAACTTTTATAATTAGTATTTTCTTAAGTTATGAATTATGATTTTGGTGTAATTTAGTAATTACTGAAAATAATATTATTAGTTGTTATAAAATATATTTTTTTACATATTCTAATAAATTTTAATACTTTCTACAGGTTCTTGATTTGAAATGAATCCAAAACTGCTCTGGTAGCTTTTCGAGTATAAAATCTCTCCTTCCCTCTCAACACATTGTAACACTGTTAGCCCTTGTTCAACTGTTCACTTATTGAGATTATAGTAGACAAAAGGATAAAAATGAGATATCGTGGATCGAAAATATCGAAGATAATTGAAGTAGAGCAGCCATGGAAACCAAGAAGAAATAGAAGAAACAGGTGAGGCTACAGTTTTCAGTCAAGATATTTTTGAAGTGAAAACTTCTTTTTTATATTTTTTATTGTTTATCTAAATAAAATATATATATTTTTGAAGTCAAGACTTCTTTAGGCGCATTTCGCACTTTTTTGTGAAGAGTGAATTACATCGAGCCTCAGATTTCCGATTTGTTATGCTCAGGTAAAGTCGGCTGGAGTCGACTAATTGAAGTGTTTCTTCATATGGATTAAAATATCTCAAAAATTAAAAGTCAGATCTCCATGTTGTTTGTGAAGGAAATGTTCATCATTTCATGCTCTTTTATTGAGCTATTATTCACAATTGTATCTTAATGTGAAGTCGTGTTAGAGAGGCGAAAAGGCAAAAAATAGTGTTGAAAACCAAATGATAACGAGGTTAGTTGGACATATAGATTAAAATATTTCAGATATTAAAAATCGTACGTACATACTGTAAGAGAGAGAAATGTTTAGCATTTCATCCTCTTTGTAATGAGCTGTTATTTATAATTTATATTTCATATTATTAATCTCGTCTAGTTGATGTTTCCACTTCTACCATGTGTTCTAAAGCATGGCCTTAATAAAGACGTTAGTTTTTTTTACAGTTACAGATTACTTAGAAACATAATCTCTCGATTATTTTTCCGAATCGTTATTTATTATTATTTTAAAATAAGTAGCATCATTATATAAATAGGCTAAGGCAAAACAATTCAGTCCCTTTTTCTCCTCTGTTTTTTAACCGATTTTCTTTTTTTGTTTAGTAGCTATTGACAAACTTTAGTGTTATCAATGAAAAGGATTTGGAAACGGTGTGTATAGATAAAAATGTAAATGTTAAAAAACGCTAATTTCCATAAGTTCTTCACTATTTGTTTTGAAATTTTGATAAACGTTGCAATCAGATTCAGGAGTGTTTTTATTTACATTTCATTGCCATCCAATACGTTCAGAAACAGCAGCCGAAAAAACGTTTGTTAATATTATATAGCACCAAAACGGCTGTAACGATTTCAATGAAACTTTGCTAACTTGGCTAAAGTCTTCTTCTTGAAGCTCTTTTAATCTGTGTATTTAATATATTTCCCTGAAATGAGGCTGAAAAAAAGTAAAGATAGATTCAGAATTTTATTTGGTGCATAAACCTAAGAGTATTTGAAATCTTCCTGAATAGAAAAAAATTTCCTTCAAGTTGAAAAAAAAAAAAAATGTGTCGAAATCGTAAGAATTATGTCAGATGAAATATTTTTTTACATTTTCTTCAGTTTATACTTTAAGAAGAGCTCTATTGTGACTAATTTATGTTTAAACTATAGCTATAGTATAAGTGAAATGTTAAAATGAAACGATCCGAACCAACTGAAGGAGCAAAGTAGTTTCAAATATTTATTTTTAAGGAGACGCCAAATTGAAATTGGTATTTCACACCTGAAAAAATCCTCAATTAAGTATTTTCATAGGAATTGACAAAAAAAGTCTTTTTGTCTCAAATTTTCACCAAGAGAGCAAAGTAGGTTAAAATATTTTTTAATATCTTAAGTTATGATACATTTTATTTTCCAATAACTCAAAAAGTACGCAAATGGTACTGCATTGTTTTTTTTTTGTAAGTACACATGAAAGTGAATGTATGAGTAAATAAGTGTAGAAAAAAATTTTTTAGTAACATGCAAAGTCATTTATGTTTTCTTCAAATATTAAATAATGTTAAGGTCGAATTTCGACACCTGGACGAAAACTAGTGTAATTAATTTAATAAGTATATTGATGTTAGACAGTGTAAACCTCTTACTCTATTAGTCATATTAAACATAAACATATATAGCTGCAATCTCATACTTTTATATACAATGAGTGATTACATGGATATCTTTAATCTATAAATAAATAAAGATTTTATAATGTAGTAAAAACTATAGAAACTAAATCTTTTTCACTTTATAACTTTTTTAAACACTATAATCCCGTATTTTCGACCTCTATCCTCTTCTTCACCTAACTGTTTCGTTTGATAAATCCTTTGTAATTCAAGCTGGTTCCCTCTGGAATTCTATCCCTCCTGATATTAGAGACGTACAATCATTTTCCTCTTTCAAATCTCTCCTCTTTAAACACCTACTCCTTTCCCAATCAGACTAATCATGAAATGTAGCTAAGAGAACTCTTTAGGTACCTCTAGAGACTATTTCAATATAGTTATGTTATTCTAGTTTCTGGTGTTTTATATATATTCAGAGGATTAACTGTCCAAACTGCAAAAATGAACTAAGGGCCCCAAAATAAGAAAAAAACTTCCTCTGAAGGTATGCCTGTAAACTCTTTGTTTAGGAGATATTCACCCCTAAAGATTTTCATTGTTATGAATTATTTGCATTATATGAAATAAATAAAACCTATTTATTTGTTCCAACTACTTTATTAATTGAATGTAAACATTAACATTCATATTAAATGTTGTTCAAAGTGAAGGTATGTCAGCAATTGCTTTGTTTAGGAGATGCTTTAGATAAAATACTAATATGGCCTTTTATCCCTAACTGTATAAAAACCATTGGGAGCTCTCAATAACATTTATCAGTTTGTAAGAGGCTTTCGCAGAGTACTCATCATTATGACTTCCATTTATACTAATGGTGAATATGCCGACATGGTGTTTGTATTCAGTTTTTGCAATGGTAATGCTTATGCTGCCCGTTGTGAATATGCCAGGTATTTTCCGAATAAGAGATTACCAAACAAGTCTATCTTTAGCTCCACGTTTTAACGTCTTAGAGAAACTGGTACATTTGCTATAATACCACGTGCTGATGGTATTTTTGCTCCTTTACGAAATGAAGAAAGGATTGCGACTATATTACAATATTTTGATAATAATCCATCTGGCAGTGTACAAAAAGCTGGAGCAGAATCAAATATTACTCCTACTACAGGATGGAGAACTCTCATTGTAGATGGACTTCACCCATATCATTATCAACTGGTACAAAATTTATTATCGCAAGATTTTTGGCAAAGAAGACATTTTTTAGATTGGTACTTGAATCAAGTTGAGCATAATCCACAATTTTTAGGAAAAATTCTCTGGACAGATCCAGCTTCCTTTACAAGAAGAGGTATCTTCAAGCAGAAAAATAATCATATCTGGCCGTAGGAAAATCCCCATGCAATTCGTGAGCATCATTTTCAGCACCAGGTTCAGTGCAATGTGTGGTTGGGGATAATAGACAATTTTTTAATAGGTCCTCATTTCTTGCCGCCTCGACTCAATGCGGGCACATTTCTTAATAATGGTTACTATGATTTAGTTGAACATATTCCACTAGAACTGAGAAGGGACATGTGGCTTCAATTAGATGGCTGTCCTGTACATTACGGAAGAGATCTACCTTAATGGCTAAATGTTAATCATCCCAATCAATGGATTGGCGTGCAGAACCAGTGGCTTGCCCTGCACACTCTCTAGACCTGACACCACTGGATTTTTTTGTTTGGGGTGACATTAAACAAAAAGTCTTTGCAAGTCCCATCAATGACCTTAATTCCTTACGAAGAATGATAATTGAATCTTGTGAAACAATAACAGGTATTCAGTGCCGTTCTGCCACTACTGCTGTTGATGAAAGATGCCGAGCATGCCTTAATGCTCAAGGAAATCACTTTGAACAACAGTTAATATGAATTTAATATTTACATGTAATTAATAAAGTAGTTGGATAAAATAAATAAATTTTATTTACTTAATATAATGTAAATAATTCATAACAATGAAAATCTTTAGATGTGAATATCTCCTAAACAAAGCGTTTGCGGGTATACCTTCATAGGAATTTTTTTTTTTTTTGAGGTCCTTAATTCATATTTTCAGTTTGGCTACTTGATCCTGAAACACCCTGTGCATATATAAATGCCTTTTTTTTCTCTCTCTCTCTTTCCCTTTCTATCTATATTTTTATTTTTAATTAACTATTATTTTGTAGGGGTGATAAATATTCAGGACGCAGTCTTTTTTAAATTTTTTTATTTTTGCCAACGTTTCGACCCAAACATGTGGGTCATCTTCAGGGCCTGGTTTGAGCACTGAGGTTGTTCAACTACTCACCAACCTCATTGCTCAAACCAGGACCTGAAGATGACCCACATGTTTGGGTTGAAACGTTGGCAAAAATAAAAAAATTTTAAAAAGACTGCGTCCTGAATATTTATCACCCATGGTATGTAGAACAGTCGACTAACTTCCTTCAAGTATTATTTTGTAAATACTTAATTTATGTATTACCACACTGGTCTTTAACCTTTATTTATAATTTATTCTAAAGGGACAACAGTCCCAGTATAAAAAAAATAAAAATTCATTTTCAATATTTTTATATAGTATATATATAACAGAAGTTATTTATATTTTTACATATGTACAGAAAATGGAGAGAAGGGCCAAGAAATATGCAGGCATGGTCAACTAAAATCATTAAGCTGTTGGATGATGATATGAATGGTCGTAGTAGTCCTTGCTCTGTCGTCAGTTTTTCACTTTCTTTGGATAACCAGATTGAAGATATGCAGGGAAATAGTGAATGGATCAGGACAGCGCACATCAAGGATGGTTCTGTGAACGAGCCAGATCGGTAGTGTATTAATTTAAATATTTTTATATTTTATCTAAATTTTTTTTCTGTTGGTATTACAGACCAAGATAATGAATTTCGCTTATTTCTTTCCAGTAATCTGCATGCATCTTTTTTTATTCAATCTATCCATTTGTTTTTTTGTCTATAGTTGCTTCCTGATGGATTGATTCGAGATACATGCCGCGTGCAACTTAACTACCTTTTGTGTCATGAGATATTGATTGACCAGTTTCTGGAAACAGTTATTAATTGTTCTTTCTCCTCCATGTGTTGGTATTCTGATCCCAGATCGCTCGTTACCGTGCAGAAGATTTTTCTTTCAAATCTTTCAGTATTTCTTTCCAGGATACTGGTTTGGTTATAGGTCTTTCAGCCATATATTAGAACTGGCTTTATCATAGCATTATTATTCACCCTTAATTTGAGATTTATTGATTTTTTTTTTTTTTTCTCGGGATTTCAATACCTTTAAAGGAGAAAAGAAAGCTCTCTTTGCACCTGTTATATTTTACATATAATTACAAAACATTTTATTTCAAGTTTTAGGGAAAATCTGTGTATTTGTTAGTGGGGGTTACATACATTTTTATTTTTATTTTATTTTATTTATTATTATTAGGAGTTGTTAATTAAAATGTAGTGAATATAAGGATATAAGAATCAAAGAGGGACCTGTTACCAGAGGTGAGAGTAATATGACGACTCCTTATCTTGAAATGCAAAGAAAACTAGGAAAATGGCTTTAATGAGATATGATACGGTGCTGATAGAAGGGAAGCTTTACACTTTAGACGATTTGAAGGTTCCAGAGGAGCTGAGGAGTAAGAGAGGAAGGAGTGGAGAGAGCTCTCACGAAGTTAAGGAATAAGAGGCAAAACATCATTTAAAACACTTAGTCTCAAAGTGTTAAAAAAAATAAAAAGAGACGAACCTCCTCGGGGAGCTCTTAATAATTATTTAAGTCCTAAGTTAAAGATGGAAAAAAATAACAGCAGACCAGGGCTGATCTCAAGGAAACTCAGCTGAGCGTTTGCACGCTCAACGTTTAAACTTTGAGAATTCCAAGACTTCTATTGTAGAATTGCTTCCTTATCTATTAATATAGGAAAGGACAGGAAAATTATTTTGGCTCAAATCTATGCACCAACGGCTGATTATCCCGAAGAAGAAAAAGTCAAGTTCTGCTTAGACATAGAAATATTCATGGGCAAGTTGAGAAAAAAAAAATAGGACAACTATTTTCATTATGGGGATTGAGAACTTGGCTTCCCAGTAGGCTGGTCACCTGTGAAAGTCTGGACCTAAACTCCCTTAACCCGTTAACCGGAGAATTCCCTTCTTAATTACATAGCATATAACGGGCGCTAACTCTTTCACTCGGAAGTGTCAATACCTCACGTCTGGAGAACGTCATTTCATATTATTATTATTTTTTTTATTTATGCTTAAAGTAAATGAAAAGACTATGAAGTATATATTTGTTCGTTTATTTATATATGAAATTAAGGTGTGTGCTTTAGACCACACGATATAGGTGAAAACATCAATAAGGCAAGATTAATAATATGAAATATGATTTATAAATAATAGCCCATTACAAAGAAGATGAAATGCTCAACATTTCCCACGCTTACAGTATACTACACAGCTCCGATTTTTAGAGTCTGAAATATTTTAATCCATATGTTCAATGAACTTCATTGTTCAGTTTTCGAAACTATTATTTTCTTTTCGCCTCTCTAACACAGTGTCGCGTTAAGGTACAATTCTGAATGATAGCCTATTACAGAGAGAATAAAATGCTGAACAATTTCCTCGCTTACAGTATGCAGGCCTGATTTTTAGGAGTGTTAACATTTTAGAAATGTGACGGATGAATCTAATTCTTTATCCACAAAAAAGTGCAAAACGTGCCTAAAGAAGTTTTGACTTCACGAATAAATAATTTTTATTTAGATACACAATAAAAATATAAAAACTTGACAATGATAGAACAATAAACAAAAGCACACAAATAAAATAGAAATATTGGGTTCAAATAATTAAAATATATATATGTTAAAATTCAAAACTCAATTTCCGTGTGATATATTTTAAAGCAATTGTTGATACATAGTGCTACCTTACAATCCGGACATCGGTATGTTGATTCTTTTCTAACACCTTTTTTGTAGCAAACTCAGCATTTTCTGGATTTATTTTTTCCTATATCGCTTTTTATTTGTTCTGGAAAATGCCTTTCAACTAAACGTGACAGCTTAGGTGTAGAGCTGCTTGCTGATGTCTTTGGGTGGGTTTTCACTATGTTGTTATCTACGATTTCTCTACACGCTCAATCAAAAAGTATAATATATGCATTGAAGCAGCACATATCAATTAATCGTAGACATTTTTTCTTAACCCAATACCTTCGTTAGAAAGTATACATTCCTCCTGTTCCAAGGCACAACATTTATTTCAAGGACGTGTTCATATTTCCTAGCCACACCCGATATTGTTTACATTTGACGTATTTATACGTTCAAGTGACTGAACTAGAACACCATACTGAGACAAATTCAGACATAGAACAGAACTTTGGGGTTTGGCAAAACAAACACTATGAAAAATTGTCAACGCACCTTGGTACATTTCAAATAATACTATACATAACGATTTAAACATCCCAACAGTAAAATCCTACATCCACAACAAATACACTTTATTTCGTTCTTCAACTCAAAATCACTTCAGTCCTTTAGTCCTTTTTATTTCCTTTTCCCTTTTACCTGATCGACGCAGACTAAAAAGAAAATGGCCAAGGGACCTACCTACTCCTGCAATCTCAATCAAGCAAACTTGCAGCTAATGGCTAGTCAGTTTTGCTAGGTGAGCTGCAGCACTGGTGCAAATGGCATACAATGTTAAAATAAATAAATAACAATTGTAATTTAATTCTAATTTATCTATTTATGGAGCTATGGACATAATAAAAGGTTTTATTATTATTCTTATTCTTAATGGATGGTATAAAATAGGCCAAAACACAGATGGATAGATTAAATCAACAAAGATGCAATAGAGCTGCGTGCAGATTACTGGAAAGAAACTGAGAAAGCTGGTTAAGGTGGCAAAAGACCTACATGGTCTGTAAAGACAACAGAAAAAAAAATTGTTATAACGATGAGTATGAGGAGGCTCCTCGTGTGATTGTTTATGTTGTAAGGTATAGATCGTAAACAATAATCTTTAGAGTAAGCGCACCGATGATGGGCATAGCTAAGGAAATTTTTGGCTTATGCCGTTGTAATTATTATTGTTATAAACTTCCTCGTAGGACATTTAGAACCTGTAGGCTCTCATTTTTCTATTTAACAGTTTAAAATTTTAAAAATATTCATTTATGTAGGTATAATCACCATTAAAAAAAAAAAACACACCTTTTTGCACTAGTTGACACCCCGAAATTCAATCGTTCTAGTAATGGACAGAGAGTTGGCACCAGTAATGGACATACTTCAGAAAAATTCTAAAATGTTTATTTAACAATAAAGATAAGATAACATAAATGTTAAACTTGCTCTTAGCAAAACTATTAGTAGGAAGATATGAAACGCACTGATCTCAAGAGCATTATAGAAACAATAATGACAGGCATTCTAAAATTTTCTTTTGTGAACTTTGTTCATACAGTTGTCAATAGGAGGGCATTGTTCTTTTATTTAGAAAAAACTGGAACCTTTAAATCAACAAGGAAGCTTATTATTTATATTTAAAGTCCAACGTCCATAATTGGTGCATTCACCCAATAGCTTATTGACCAATTCTTAAAATTTGTAGGCAATAGACATTCTGTTATAAAATAAAAACACTTATTTATTGTTAATATTTATCTATATATTATAATTTGTATTTAATTTTTGCAATCTTATTTGCAGACGCTCTCCATTATTTACGGGAAGAATGCTGAGAAGGAATCATTTTGCAGATGATAATTGTGCTCCAAGACGAGGTATTTCTTATGAATTTCCTTCCGATGGGGGACATAATCCTAACACATCCCGGCTCTCAATTCGTGAACGCTTAGAACCTCCTCACGTTAACAGGGAACGACCAGAATTTGATATTCCCTCTCGCTTGGAATCACCTGAAATGGATATCCATCATGATCTGAAATTTTCAAATATGGATATGCAGCAACATATGGAAGGACCATTGGCCATCAGATCGAGGGATCGTATGGAAGGACCTCTGGCTATCAGATCAAGAGAACATATTGAGGGACCACCGGCTATCAGATCAAGGGAAGCCGTCGACATTGCAGTTCCCCCGGAGCAGTTTGGTTTCCGTCAGAATCATCAGGACAAGGAACCACATTCTCACCTTCCTCCCAGGTCTGTGTAGTAGTTATCAACTTCTATTTCTTCTTTTCTTTGATGTGTAATTAACAATGGATTATTTTAGTTCTTATCAAAGGTAAAGATAAGAAAGCTGAAAATCATAGTTCAGACATATAGGAGTAGTAGTGGGGATGAGGTGGTACAGTAGGAATTTTAATAAAAATTTGTATTAATTAAATATATCGATCAGGTCAATTTTTCGTCAATTGGATATCGTTTATGTTATGTCTATATTGATCATAATGATGTATCGGCTATTTCAACAAAAATGTTGAGTCTTGTGATTAACGATATTGCAACATAGGAAAATGGCAGAAACCGTCGACGTACGGTTTTGGTTTTTTTCTTTAACAAGACATACGCACACATATTATGACATAAACAAGACATGGTTGGAAATTGGTTGGCCATTGGACTATTTAATCGCCTTCAAAGTCTCTAGTTTGCGCACTCCCTGAAATCTTCATTGTAATCAAGCACGTTACTAAATGATCTGCTGATGAAAGTGTCTGTAGTGTACATATAACATGAATAAATACGAATTCTCATTCTGGAGCTGGGGAGCTTCTAAATCAGACATTAATTCCCTGTCCCTCTCCCCTGGCTCGGAATAAATCCCATACAGCCTAAAAGGCTAGGAAAGGGTGGTAAAAAAAATGGTTGAAAATTCTACAATGGAATTTCATCTTCAATGAAATGAAATGAAAAATTAATTTTATTCTGGGACTACTGTCCCCTAAGAATAATAACAGAGTTACAAATTTATGTATCTTAGTCTGACAATAAAAATACCAATTAATTTACTGTTAATTGTTATTTCAATTGTGCAATGGATTGAAATTAAACATTGTATAGATGCAAATAATTAGGGGAAGTTTGAATGTGGAGTAGGTGTTGGAACAGGAGTTGTTTGAAGGAATTTGTGTTCCATTTTAATTTGTTATTTATATTTAATATTGTGGTAGATGTAGTCTCCTCTGCATTGGAGCGCGGAATGTACTGCACGGGAGTCTTTCTCGACGTTGAACAGGCGTTTGATAGAGTCTGGCATCTGGGACTGATGTACAAACTCCGTGAATTCCTACCACGTACATACTTCCTCATTATCCGTTCCTACCTTACTGACAGATACTTCAAAGTCAATCATAACATTGCTTATTCATCTCTTTTTACTCAGTCTGCCGGTGTTCCTCAAGGTAGTATCCTAGGTCCTATCCTTTACACAGTTTATACAGCTGACATCCCGACACTGTCATCACCACCTATGCCGATGACACGTGTATTCTATCAGTTAATAACGATCCATCTATTGCATCCCAAACTCTTCAATCACACATCACAAGCCTTGAAAAATGGTGTCAAAACTGGAAAATTAAAATAAATGCCAATAAATCCCATCAAATAACCTTCACTCTTCGTCGTCAACCTATGACTTCCTGTCCTACAGTATCCTTCAATAATAGCCCTCTTATCCCTGTCGAACAAATCCGATACTTAGGACTCCACCTTGACAAACGACTCACTTGGAACCCCCATACCAGACTGAAACGACTAGAAACCGCCCGACGTTTTCGACTACTGCAGCACTTACTAGACAAACGATCTAATCTTTCAATCAATTATAAACGACTCGTATATATTACAATAATAAGACCTATTTTGACTTACGGAATTGAGCTTTGGGGCTCCACTAAACCATTGAATTCCTCTCATATCCAATCCTTACAATCCAAAATCCTTCATAAAATCCTTAACGCTCCTTACTTTGTCACTAATAAAATCATCCATAAAGACCTTAATGTTCCATATGTTTCCGATTTGGCCCAATCCATATACCTGTCCTTCCATAACAAACTGCAGAACCATCCGAATCCTCTCGTTTCAAATCTTGCTTCCTCCTCGATCCCTGATAACCCTCCGAGGGGTCTGAAAAGAAGATGGCCTCGGATCTTCTAATATAGAACTTTAATTTGAGTTCTACCAATGGGTAGTTTCTCTTCATGTTGTACATGGCATGTTATCAATTTCACATTTACTTATTGTATTTTATATGTAATACAGTTGTAAATTCCATTAAAATACTAATAAAAAGAATATATATATATTTATTATTATTATTTTTTATTGGAAATAATCAAAATATGCAATTTCCATCAAATATGGAGTATTAAATTTTACTAATTACATCTTGGTTCATCGATTCATACATGTTTTTGATCACTAGTTTAAAAACTGGATGCAAACGAAGTATACAACTGCATTGAAATCTGAACTTGATTTACAAAATTCATTTATAAAAAAAAATGTATTGTCATTGTAACTTATATATGATAGTAGATAAACTTTTCAGAGATGAGTATGACGCATACAACGGTGATAGATTGGCAAGAAATGGTTTTCCAGCGCCTCAAAGAGCTCGCGCTTTTCGACGCTCTCTGTATTTTCCTCCAGGCTACAGAAGCCCTCCCAAAAATTCCAACGCAGCTAGGCAGAAGAGAACAATTTGGCCTTGGTTGAAGACATCAGCTGATTGTTCCGAGGATACTCCGGACTATACGGACCATTATGTTAGGTATTTATTTTGTCTGTAATTCTCTAGTTTAGAAAATATGGGCATTTAATTAGCGATATAAGCAAGCTTCCAGTTATTGAGCTACTCCAGTTCCTAATATACTATACACATAATAATAATAATACACTATATACAAGGTTTTTTGCAGATCAAGGGGTGAAGGTGGGAATTAATGCCAGAGTTAAAAAACGCCCTTAAAAGGCATCAGTAGGCGAACTCGTAATTATTTTGTGATCTGTAACTTGGTTATCAGGTTGTGGGACGACGCGCGGTGCTGTGTACACGCGTTAGCCCACTCGGCCACCCTGCCCCTATCGATATAATATCATTACTATTGTTCTCTGGTTGTAAAAAAAGTTAATGAAACTGTTGGTAACATTGCATTTATCTCGTTTTATAACTAATTATATCCCATGTCACTTTTAATTTGAAAATGTTTTAATATAACACTAGCTTTACCCGACCACGCGCTGCTGTGGCTTAGCCTGACAAAATGAAAAAGAAAGAAAATAGAAAGCACATATGAGTAGATTAATAGCAAAGGACATCTGTCATTTTTAAAAAGTTGGGAAACAAATTTGTCTGTAAAATGGCTTCAATTTAAACTAATTCTAATGATTTTTTTTCTCATGATTCAAATTGAACATTCATAATCATCTGAGTGAATACGCCGTCATTCATAATCATCAGAAACAGTCTGAGTTGAACTTATAAAACTAAAATAAAAAATTAATATAAAGAACGTATAATAGTATTGACCTACATTAGGAGAACAATATAACTTCTTCAAATTATAATTTCAATTACTTTAGTATTTTCGATTTATCAATAAAAAAAAATGCTTACCGACTTTCGGTAGTGAGGAAGCAAAAGGAAATGGCCTTTTCTGAAGAGAAAGCAGTAAATGTTTAAAACTGTAACTCTGCAACAAACCGTCCGATTACGATGATTTTTTTTTTCTATTTTGTCAGCAATTCAGAAAACTTTCATATAAATATGGGTATTAGTAAAAAATTCTGTACTTTTTTAGTTATCGTCAAATAAAATATTGAATTCATCGTAACATGTTTCAGCTTGTTTTCGGGAAAGTATGTTATACACATAAATTAAAAGGGTTTCCAGGGGAATACTTTAGCCAAGTTTCGTTAAAATCGGTAAAGCCATTTTGGCGCTACAGCTTATAGTGACATATTTCTTTTGTGGCTTTGAACAGAAAAACATTTACATTTTTATTTTTTTTACATATATAAAATTATCATAAGACAGAAGTACTATGCCAGAAACCTTCCCAGGAGTGTACGGAACAATTCCCTAAGTTTCATGGCGATCGGAATAATGGTTTAGTAATGCACAAAGGACAAACAGACAGACAGACACATTCATTTTTTTATATATATATATATATATATATATATATATATAAAAGATAAGGAAACTATTAAAATTAATACAATCATTGATATATGGTGTTTTAGCCTTTTCTGTAGAAATATATTTCATTAGTTTTAGAAATGATAAAGATGTCTTCTACCATGCGTGTATATATAATTTATTGATATCATTCACATTTTCTTTTTAAATTTATAAATAGTAACCTATCTTCAATTTACAATGAACAGAAACACGATGCCCACCACTCAAGACAACCTATAAATGTGCCCGCTGTTGAAAAAAGGTTGGGAACCTCTGGTTTATTGCAATCGTGTGGTATTGAGTCGGAGCGAACTCAGTAAACATAATTTTTTGGCTGCAAATCCTGACTATTTTTCATCCGTATAAAGTCAACAGTCGAAACTATATATCCATTTCTAAACAATAAACTGTTATTTGTGATGTATTTATGGAATAAACTTTGTTGCAGAAGGGATCATATAGATTTCAATGCTGAGAGATTTGAAAGAGATCCATTGCTGCCCCCAGGGCAGAGGCAGTACGAGCAACCTGAGTACTATCGCCCACACTACTTGGATCACAGCGGAAACAGCCTGAGGGAATCGAGATCAGAAATGTCATTGCCCGCCCATGAAATTAGGAGCTATCCTGATTATCGATCGGAAGCCTGCGAGAGGAACTATAGCAACCGGAGGTATGAATAATAATGGTACCTTGTGAGTTTAGTGTATTAATTAATTTATGTAGGATATCGATTGTCCGATTGCTCCTTCTGAACTATACTGACAAGTCTTGATGACAAAAAAAATTCTCCCGCCTCAATTAACTGACTTTAAAACCTAATTTTTTCAACGACTGTTATTAAATTGAAGCGAAGATGGTGGTCGGGATGCTCAGTAAAAACAAAATGTAAAAACTAATGAATTATTTTACTTTTATTTTTTGCCAACCTTTCGGTCCAGAGTTCACGCCTTCATCAGGGCTAAAATAACAAAACAGATAACAATGAGTATGAGAAACTAATAACATTAAAAATAAAATAATAATGTGTAGCTGAAAGGTGGAGTCTAAAAACATGTATTTAGGTATAATAAACTTAAAGGTAATATAAAATAACGATAATAAACTTAAGAATAGAAAGTAGCAGAAGATATATAATATAACGGTAACAAAGTTAAGATATATAACATAACGGTAACAAAGTTAAGATATATAACATAACGGTAACAAAGTTAGGAACTAATGAAAAAATAATAACAGTGACAGAGAACCATGAAATAAATAATAACGGCATTAAAGTTAGGGACTAATGAAATATGGTAACATAAGAAATGATAAATAAATTCTATTACATTTCGTTGTTACCTTATTTCATTATGTTAATTTTCTTATTCTCTAACTTCGTTTTGCAGTTATTTTTTTTCATAGTTCTTTGTTACTGTTATTATTTTTTTTCATTAGTTCCTACTTTGTTACCGTTATGTTATATATCCTAACTTTGCATCCATTATTTTCTATTGTTATAGTTATTTTATATTTCTTTTAAGTTTATTCTACCCTACATGTTTTTAGACTATACCTTTCAACTAAATATTATTATTTTCTTTTTAATGTTAATAGTTTCTCGTACCCATTGTTATCTGTTTTTTCTTAGCACTGCTGAAGGTCTGAAATTTGGACCGAAACGTCGACAAAAAATAAATATAATTTATTTATTTTTACATTTTTTTTACTGAACCCATGATTATGACTTTTATTGAAGTTTTTGAATGAATTTCCAAGGATCGACATTAATATTCATCACTTCTCTATGAAATTTGCTTTTGTTTGATATCTCGTTCTTTAAAATCCATCGCTCCTGAGAGCTGGCTGGCGATCTGTACTACCATATTATAGATAGGGTCTAGCTTATAATATCTTTAATTATTATTTTAATTAATTAAATTAATCTTCAATTTAAGATTGTTTTAACAACATATTTTTAGCTATTTCTTTATATTTCATTGTAATCTATTCTGAAACTGCTTTTGATTTATATTATAGGGATGATGGTAGGTTCGATTGGTCATATTCTCGAGTCGAAGCTTATGGTTCATCCTTCTCTCCGCAGAGGTTCAATGGCTCGAGGTCTTTGCAGTACTCACCAGGTTCTCCGCACCCACCTCACGATTCTTTCATGGGTACTCCACAATACAGAAGTCTTATGGAGTCGCCGTCGTATAATTGGGAAGGTCCCCATGGCCGCAACTACCAACACTCGTACCAGGATAGGTAAGGATTTCAATAACAGGGAACATTATAATTTTAAATTTACTTTCTTTAAATCATGAGTGATAAATTGTCTGGACACAGGCATTTTTAAGGTTTTTATTAGTGACGACGTTTCCAACCAAACATGTGGGTCATCATCGGGGTTGTTTAAGAATCTGAACTTGAACGTGCTCCTAACTATTTATCACCGATGATATGTAGAACAGTCGACTAACTTCCTTCAATGCTCTCTTTAATCATTATTTTAAATTTTGTAAAAAAAAAAATCTAACTTTTACTACTTCATTTATTTTGTATATTCTATACTATATATATGTATATATATTTGGTTTATTCTAAGATCATAGACCATTTTGAGTTGTAAAATTTCAAATATCTAAATTTTAAAAATTGTTTAGATTAAGAATGTTATCCTGGTGAAGTAGAAGTTATTAAGTTATCCAAAATTAAATAATTTTTTATGGAATTATCAATTGTTTAAATCGATGTACTCTACAAAAAACTTCATTTCGCTTACAATAATTGTATTTTATCATTCAAAGTAGCATATATATTTTTCTTTTTTAAACCTGTTAACAAAATTTTATAGAGGATCTAGATAACACCTTTAAAAATATATTCATAATTATAAGATTGATTAGAGTTATGTTACAATAAAGACAAAGAAAAGTTTACGGACCATTTTAGCCACCTTTTACTTTCATTGCCGGTAAGAGATTTAACTTTTGAAGTTTTTCTCTTTTATTTTTTTTCATTTCTTATTCGAACCCTCCGTGGGCACAGCCAACCTCTATAAAGTGGTTATTCTTAATTAAATAATAGTGAAAATCTGGCAGTTGAGCTTGATCCCGGCCCGATCACCTCCTTCCATAACCGTTGTCCTTGAAACAGTACTTCCTTATAAGGAACTGAACCCAAGACCCTTTATGGGTTGTAGCGGTTCAGATTTCATTCAGGACGGAACACTTCGTTGACGAGTTGCACTCACAACATACAAATGTTAAATAAATTTCTTTGATGCCATGATAACCGATGTTGCCATGTATTCTGGTCTGTGCATATTTTTAATACAAAAAGAGTTTGGTTATTGCATACAAAAATAATCAAAACTATTAAATAAAGCTTTCAGAAAGCAACATGCTCCGTTAGTTAGTACAAGATAAAGGCCTGTAATTTTAGAATTACCTAAACAGTGTAATTACGAGATTGTTATTTTATTTGTTTTAAATGTGATCAAGTTTTTAATTTAACATTTTATTTTTTAAATGTTGGTGGTTATACACCATACTCATAGAATTAATAATGCTTATAGTTATAGTTATGATAGTTCTGGATATTAGTAAGTCGTAGATGAATAGGGTTGTTATGCGAATCGTGGCCATTGATATTTAGTTTATAGTTACACTTAAATTTTTTTTTTTAATTTTGTTGTATTGTAAGAACAAATTGGTATTAATAGATATTAATTCATTGAAACTATATTAAATGTATGTGTGTAAATTTATTGTTTAGTATACCATTATACTTAAATTTTATATATTTTTTTTTAACATAAAATATTCACAAATTTTTCTTTTTCTTTATTTTCTAAATAAATAATTCATTCCAGAAAATAAAAATTTATTGATGCTTCTGGTTGACCATTTTGATGACATACCTCGCCTCTATTGTTTAGCCATACATTTCTTCCTTTCTATCACTCACCTTCCTTTCTATCTTTACGTAGATTTATTTAAAATTAATCGTCTATTGCAGAAATTATACAAATGACATTTTCATAATTTTAAGAAAAAAAAAAGCTACAATAGTGAAATGTTTAAAGATAAAAATCTACAAAAAATGTATAGTATAAATAATAGTTGACTGTTGTAGATATTTTGAAGAGAAATTGGTTGGGATGTTCCATCAGAGGAAGGACAAAGTGAAAATAAATAAATTATACTAATTTTTAGTACCAAATTTTTGGCCAAAGTTTCAATGTTGTTCTCATACCTAATGAAGATCTGAAACATCGGCACAAGGAATTGTCATATTTTTGACCGAATATCCCAACCAGCTTCTCTTTAATATAGAATAAAAAATCAATCTTTACATTAATCATTTTCAAGCAGCATAGTATCATTATATCAACAGACACACTTAAAAAGCCTGTAAGAATAAAAAATAATAATTTTCATGGAAAGAAAAAAACTGCATAATTTTTGTTCCATGTGCATTATATTTTTGATTCAATTTTGTTTTGCAGGTCTAACACAAAGATTTAATGATCTGTGTTACTGTTTTTCGATCATATTTATGACTTATTACTTCTAACTTATAGCTTTTTAGTTAATTTGAAAAAACAAGTACAGGTTTTAGTTAGGTAAAAGAAATCAAATTTATTATAGTAACACCCATAATTCCATGATTTAGTTAATAATGATTAAAGCATGACAGGAACAAAATCAAAATGTAGAGAAATTATACTTCAAATGAAAATTTGTAAAACATTTGATTGGAAAGCGAGTATTTGATCACATGGCTTTTTCACTTTTTTGTCTCCCACTGTAGGGACAGCTAGAATGAAGCGCATGCGTCCCATATTCAACTTGATATAGGCATGGTTTGATTCACAAATGCTTGGTAAGTTCCAGGTAATCTGCTGATGTGTTTCGGAGCTCCTTGCGATTTCAAAAATTCATTGGTTTGAAAAGATTAAACTAGAGTTCTTTTTGTGTCTCATATTGAATTTTCCAATTAATGAAATGAATTCTCAATTCTACCTAAAATTCAGCTGCACTGTCTAGGTTATTTTGCAATTGCCAGGTGGTTTTGATTGTTTTGAAAGCCGTTTCCATGGTAAGCAGTGACAGTCTCAGGGATGAGAAACCCAGTGCCTGCTACTTATTATAATATAAAAAAATAATACAACGCATATGAGAAAAATTAATTTTAGCACATTAATAAAGCTAATTAATAAAAATCACGTGTTGACATCCTAGTAAAGAGTAAATTATTTTTAAGCAGCGAAATGCTACAGAGTTAAACAAACATTATCGTTTGAAAGAGGATTAATAAGTGTTGACATTCATACAAATGAATAATCCAGTAAACTTGAGCAGTTTGTTTGTTATATAGAAAACTATTTTAAATAGAACTCAAAATTCTGCATTATTTTCTGGATAGCCCAATCCTTTTATGCGCTTATTTGAGAAAATAGTGGATGCAATTCGATTTAATGAATACGATGATGACCATATGTGTTTCTGGACCGCACTATCACTGAAGAGTGAATAAGCTTCTCTGCCTTTGGTAGTTTAGAAAGATAAAAATTTATTATAAACTTCAATGTAATTATTCTTAATGTGGCATGGAATTTTGTGTACTATTTCCCTTTGGCTACTTGAAAATGGCAGTGGGTTTCAAAATCATACTGAGCACACTACATTATTATACAATATTAAGGAAATTATATTATACTAATAAATCAGTTTTAATTTATTGTTGTTACTCGTCTGATATTGGAAAGAGCATCAGAGAGTTCATAATATTTATCATTTATTTTTCTTATTCATATCACTCATCTTTCTCCCTTTACTGTTTTTCATACCCATACCTTAGTTTTTTTTATAGTGTTACTTTTATACATTGATCTACTAAATGCTCTTAATTCATGAAAGTATTTCAAATTATTTTTTTACAAATGATGTGTCTTGATAGATTTCATTTCATCTCATTATTTTCTTTATATAACTTATTCCTTTTCTTTGTTTTTCATTATTATTCCATGTTTGTCCCATTTTCTGTGAACATATTACGACACCAACTTATAGCACCTACTGCACACTATTTATTTTATTTTTACTACTCCTACTATCGCTTAATACTCCATTTCAAAGTTGCAATAGAGCATAGAGATCACTGGAAAGAAATATCCCATGGCAAGCAGTGATGGAGAAAGCTGATTAAGGGTGACTAAAAATCTAGAAGGTCTGTTATGCCAAAAAAAAAAAAAAAAAATTAATATAGATTTGCATAAGACAGGCAAAAGAAAAACTTAGAGATAATGAATCTTACGTTCATAATTACATAAAAAAGAAATTGTAAAGCAATAATTTATTGTATTATTAATATTAATATTAATATTGTATTATATAAAGCCCACCTTACACGGTCAATATTATCGAATGTGGTATATGTCGATATAATTGTTGCAATCCTTCTGACAATATATATTCGATATTGATTCAATAATATTGACCTTGTAAGGGCCCCATAACAGTAATCAGGGGCATATGCAGGAAGGCCTTGCCCCTCCTAAAGAAGAGGTAAAAAGGTTATCGAAAATCCGAGAATAATAATTTTTAAAAATTGTATGTTATATTGTGAATCATTTAAAAATATTTATAATATATGATAACAATAAACTATTTAGTATAATATTATTGAGTTTGAAATCATTTATCTACCTGAGATTTTCCTTTATTCAGTCTCCTCCCCTCTCTACTAGTGCGAGGGGGCAAAAAAAGTCGACATTAAGGGATAACATTTTATAGTCAAAAGAACAGATTTTTGTTTTAAACCTTTACCTCTTAAACAGTGCATCAAAGCGAATAATGCACTCCTTGAGAAATTAAAGAAGCTTTAATTGTTTGTCGGGCGAGTAACTTAATAATTTGGTTAAGTATTTAGATAACCACTACGGTTAACGAATGCTGTTTTTAGTAAATTCTTCAAAATATGAAAGGGAGTGGACTGGCTTAGTTGTAGGGTTCTGAGGTTCCCATGTTTGAATCCGGACTCATGGCAGATAAATTATTTATTCTGTTTCATTGGCCGTGGGGTCAGGATACCCTCCGGTGGCACAACCAACCTCTATGAAGTGGGGACTCTTAAATAATGGGGAAAACCTGGTGGTTGTCTTGGTTAAATCACCTTGCTCAATTGCTGACCAAGAAACTGTTTTCCCTAAATAGTAGAGCCTTCATGGGTTGTAGGCGTACAAGACAAAAACTGAGACA